GCAGCCGGGCGGCAGCAGCAAGCTGCGGTTGTAGCCTCGTGGGAATTGGCGAAAGAGGTTTCAGCAAAAGAGGTAGAATTACGTGCCGAGGCGAAGGTTTTAGGACAGCCGAGGGTGCTTCAAGTCCAGGAGCGTCAAGCTATGATTGCAGCAGTGACAGCAGTGCATGGCCGCTTGAACGAGAGCGAAACACCATCAGCTGAGTACTTGGCTCTGAATGCCGAGGAGTGCGAAATCAACGAGCCTTCCGCGTCACCTCTTGATTGCATCAGTGCCAAGCGCGATAACTTAGAGAGCCAGCTGCAAAGCACTGTCGATGCCCAGGGGCATATCCGCATCACCAAGGTCAAGCATAAACTTGAGGTCCCAGTCAACAGCGAACATTACAGGCGCATCATGAAAGTAGAGATGTATGCATGGCTGGCCATGGCTGCAAGGTTCAAGGCGAAGGCGTGGCTCCAGGGTCTGACTGTGACTCCTTTCTTGAAATTCACTGATTACATCTCAGGTGAGAAGGTTTCGCAGCTTAAGATTCCGACAGCCCAGGGCAGCGACCAAAGTGCAGGTTTTCGTCCACCCTGGACGACTGTCTTGGCGTACGAGTTTCGTCTGAGGAAGGAAGCCTTCAGGTTGGTGAATGAGGAAGGAGAAACCTTGGCCGAAGCCCTGACCAAGGTTTGCAAGGATACCGAGCTGAAGGAGGTGTATTTCACCACGCCGTTGGCTTTGGCCAGTGCTGAGGGGAGTGTTCGCAAGTACTTTAAGGGTGCAGGGAAGGATCACAAGGGAGGCAAGAGTGACCAGGCCACTTCATCAAAAGGGGACGGGAAGCTCAATAAGGGCAAGACTTCCGAGAGCCAAGGGTATGGTGGCAAAACCCCTGGGGTCTTCGCAGGCTTCACTTTGCTCAGCCAAAGCCCGGACGGACGCCAGATTTGCTATGCCTTTAACTCTGCAAAGGGGTGCAAGGGCAAGTGTGGCAGGGTACACATATGCCGCGTGAAAGGGTGCGGGAAGCAGCATGGGGTGCATCAGCACCCGGGTGTCAACAAGGATTCCACTGGTGGCACTGATCAGAAGACGAATGAGTGACTAGCAGGTGTGTTGCATGTGTTCAGTGGTCCTGACGACCGGATTGGCCTTAGGGAAGCCCTTGCCAAACTCGTGCCTGGATTGCAGCTCGTGGAAGTTGACATAAGCTGTGGCCGGGGCTCAGAAGGGGATAAAGATCCTCAAGACGCATGGGACACAATTCGTGAAACAGTTTGCAAGGGTAGGTGGCTGCTCTATTGCACGTTGCCTGCCAGGACATTCAGTCGGGCTCGGCACACCCGTCCGGGCCCTCCACCGCTTCGGAGCCTGGAACATCCTTACGGTTTTCCATGGCTTCGACAATCATTTTCACAGCAAGTTAAACTTGACAATGACTTCATCTTTCAGGCCGTCGAAATTGCGATTGCATGTTACGATCATGGTAGCTACTTCGCTTTAGACCACCCGGAACAACTTGGCAGGGCATCTGACGATGCCGTCCCGGCCACGCCCTGGGACTGGCAGGAGGTCCAGGACTTAATACCTCGTTGTTCAGCCGTTACTTTTGCTTTGTATCAATGTCATTTCGGTGCATCAACCTCAAAACCGACTCGTTTCCTTGGAAGCTTGCCAGAGTGGAGCGACTCCGCGCCCCATTGTGCGGGACTGCCTTCACTGGACAGCCACGCTCGTTACAAAGGCCCGCTGCCTCCACGCTGCGGGCATCAGCATGCTTCGATGCTTAGATCGCAATCTGATGGTTGGCATGCAGGTTCACAACCCAAGTTTCCTGCAGAACTTTGCGATTTCATAGCCTCGGCCATCGCAGCAGTCGCCCCTGCGGGGAAGGGCGGAAGCCACACTCCTGCTTGCATGGATAAGAACCCGGTGGTAGGCCCTCCTGTGCTTCCCCCGCCTGGTTCATCTCTTAGCTCCACCGGGTCTAGATTAGAGTTGACGCCTCAGGCACAACCCAGCACTTGTACCACAGGCGATGCCGCGAACTTGTGCGATCCAGATGCCAGCACTTGCACCACAGCCGACACCGCGAACTTGTGCAATACAGATGCCTTTGCAGAAAATGTTTGCATGGATAAGAACCCGGTGGTAAGTCCTCCCGTTGAAAACCCACCTGGTTCTTCCCTTAGCTCCACCGGGTCTAGCTTAAAGCGGGCACCTCAGGCACCCCCCAACACTTGCGCCACAGACGAGGCCGCGACCTTTTGCAATCCAGATGCCGAAAACATCCTTAGGTCAGGTGCCGAGGTTTCGGGAGAACACAGACGTGAGATGTACAAATTTCTTCCGAAAGATGAACCTTCAGCTGAGGTGGATCGTGCCATACCTTTCCGACCAGAGCTTTGTGGAAACAACGGAGTGCCTGTCAGAGTCAGCTGGGCGGGAAGCGAAGGTCCACTCACGGATGGTTTTGGTCTGTGTTCGCCCTCTAGGTGGACACCGAGCGCGCGTGGAGCACGGCTCGGCGAAACGGCGCGGCGCTTCGCATCAGCCATGCACACCTTGGTGAAATCATTTGTACTTCGGGTCATCCCTGACGCTGAAAGATCAGCGATGGAGCTTGTCTTGGGACGATACACTTCGTCCCCCTTCTCAGAGAAGGACATGTCACAGCTTCGCCAGCAATGGGTTAGCCTTTTGGGTGATAGTCAGGGTTTTGACTTGCTTGAGGTTCCGGAGAGACAGCCTTTCTTCTTGCCAGCCTTGGCACGCACCGCCGAGCTGCTTGAGGATCCGGACTGGGAGATCGTCACGCAAGGCAACGACAACTTTTGCACGGGCGTTCCCTTAGGTTGCGAAGAGGTCTTGCCACAGGTTTGACTTTAAATATAAATCTAGGACACTTGACGAATCCGAGTACGATTGGGACAGATCGAATTATCAGAGCGCCAGAGAGTTTGAAGCACCTCTGCACGAGAAGTTCAAAGAGGAAGAGCGACTCGGGAGAATGTTTCCGACAACACTTGGTGCGCTTAAAGAACAATTCGGCCCCGAACGTATTCGAATCGCTAGCCTCGGAGCAATCGGCAAGCCGGATGGAGGGGCAAGACCCACCCATGACGCTACACACGGCGTCCAGGTAAACAACACCATCAAAATAGAAAGCCAGCAGGCCGTTCCGGGACCGGCTGACCTTTCGTACATTGTCGAAGAGCCCATCAGGCGAGGAGAAGTTCCTTTCTGTGTTTCAGCAGACGTCACAGCCGCTCACCGCTTGAGCAAGGTGCGAAAGCAGGACTGGCCTTATCTGGCTTGTCGCGTCGATGACACATCACCCACCATATGGGTGAACACCGTTGGGACCTTCGGGGTCTCTTCGGCCTCGTTTTCGTGGTCCAGACTTTTCGGGATAATAGGCCGGGTTGTCACGAGATGTCTAATGCAAGTTCTGTTCTTTCACCTGGTCTTCGTGGATGATCTTCACGCGAACTTCTCAGGCCGAAATCGCTACCTGTACACCTTGATGTGGCTCGCCTTGTTTGAGATGATCGGCACTCCATTCTCTTACAAGAAGTTCAAGGGAGGATTTCGGGTTCAGTTCATTGGCTATGAGCTGGACTACAAGTCTAGGACGATGGGCGTTTCGGCATCGAGGGGGCGATATGTGATTGAGTGGATTCAGAACGCACGCCGCCAGCGGTTTGTGGTCTTGACGCGTGATTTTGCGGAATTCTTAGGACGCCTGGGATTTATCGCTAGGACCTTACATTGGCTTAAACCCCACTTAGGCCCTTTGTATGCATGGTCAGCAGCGACAGCAAAGGGAACAGCCGCCACACTCCCTTTGACTGTCATCTTGACCCTAGAGTACATTTCGAAAATCCTTCAGCGGGAAATTTCCATATCAGCGTCAGGCGCGTGCAGCTGCAGAGCGAGCCTTCCTTCCACGCAGACGCCAAGTGTGCCGATGGCTTTGTGGTTTTAGGTGGTTGGGAGAGTCTGGGTAAGTCACCTAAGGAGGCCCGTTGGTTTTCACTGAAGATTTACCCGGCAGATGCACCGTACTTGTTTGATACAAAGCAGAAGTCCCAGTGGGCTTCGGCCTCAGCTGAGTTGTTGGGCACCCTGGCAGCCCTCCACTGCTTCGGTCACTTGAAGCCTGCAAGTGCACTGAGGAGACTCTTCGTGAACGTCGTCGCTGCTACGGACAATAGAGGAAACGA